GGAGGGGAGGCCTCCCCTTCCCTTCCTCCCAACTAAACACATTCTTAGTCTATGTTTACCCTCTGATGCATGCATTAATTTGCAACATTAGCAAGTTTTTTTTTTCTTACATGGTACCTACTCTACCAAGATTAAACTTTTTTTGTTTTTGAAGTGAAACTTTGGACTGAGCCAGTCAAGATGATGATATTTGATCCCAACATTTCAAAATGACAATTAAGGACCTTGGTTTTTCTTGCTGATTTTTTTGTTAAAGTATCTGATCAAAATATTCCTCCTTACATTTAAGTTAAAAATCCTGAAAATGAATTAACCCTTTATTTTTCATTGATTGGTTTTCCGTATTCATCCTTCAATTTTCATATGGGAAGCTAATTAAGTTGGTACAGCTTGATGAGTTAAAAAGGATGGATATAAAAAAAAGGGGGTAAAATACATAAAACTTCCATAAATTTTGAAATTATTGTATATGATCTTCTCATTTTTAAACATTTAAAATTAATTTTTATAACCTTTAATTTTATTTTTTAAAGTTCACTACTATTAATTAACTTTATTATATTATTAATAGAGTTTGATAAGTCAGTTTAATGAAATACACATGACACCTAATATGGAAAATATTTTTATTAATTTTTCTAACACAATTTAAGGAGAAAAAATTATAATTTTTACTTTTAATACACATGACGATGCTATCATTCTTTTAGTTGAGTGATTTTGTTCTTATTATTCACTGTTAACATAAGTTAAGAAAAACTATAATTTTATTATTCTTTATCAATTAAAATAGCTTTTTATGTTAAACAAATGAACAGAAAAACATTAAAAAGCTATCATTGATAAGAATTATATAAATAAAAATTTGTCATTTGATATAAGAAAACTATACACCATTGATAATAAAAAATATGAATAAAACTAATACAAAAGTAAATATTTAAAACTAATATAAAAGTAAATACTCAAAAAAGTTATTCATTTATTATTTATTTTCATAAACTGTCACATAAGTTGGAGTGTTCAACTAACCCAATAAGCCTTATCTTACTTGAGAGACCAGGTTGGTCTTAATGATCAGGTTGGGCTAGACTTCGAGTTTAGTCCAACCTGATCTTGCTGACCTCGGGTGTGTGTGTGATTTTAATTTTTATTGGTATTATCATTTTATGAAATTTTTTTTTTCCTTCATAGATCATACTTAATAAATTATTGTTGTTGTTATTGTTAAAAGTAAATTATTGTTGTTGTTGTTATTATGAAAACTTTTAACAGGTCAATATATTATTTTTATTTAAAATTTTAATTTGATTTTGAAACTTAATATTATGTCAGAACAATGTGTGTTTAAAATTTTAAAAAATATTACTTTTGAACATGATATTTTTTTAAGAGAATATTTTCGATGGACATAATTGAGTATATAAATTTTATTTATTATTTTATTTTTAAATTTGTTTAATATTTATGCTAGGTTGGGCTGGTCTTGTACTCATTACATAAGAACAAGCAACGAGACGATAGCTAGCCCATTCTCTGTGCACCCCTACGTATAAGCTTCTGTGTGGCTTTTCTTAATTTAATGTGAAAAATTCCAACATAGCATAATTAATTAGTAGCAAGGGGAAAAATAACATCAAAAATTAGAAGAGTTAATTTTTAATATTTAAAGATTAATGAGTTATATACAACTTCCTTAAAATTTAATTTTTTTTAATATTTGAGCTAAGAAAATATTTCACTGGAAATGATTCCAACTGAGCTTTTATGATTTCCACCTTTTATGTGAATAGCGGCATTTTGGCCAGTTAATTTCAGGTCTTTTTCCCAAACACCCCCCCAAGAAAAAAAAAAACAAAAACAAAAGGTTCTTTGTCACTTACCCTTTTTCAAATTACAAGATGAGTTTAGTTTATATTTAGATAATTTGATCCGTCTAATATCTTTTAGGTGTTTCGTGCATTATACTTTACTGTATCATTTACTCATTAACTTTATAAATGTTCTTGATACTTGAATTGGTCGTCTAATTTGTTTCCCTGTATTCCATAAGTTACTTGTCTGACTATTTCAAGTACTGGATAAGTACATACGTTGGCTTTCAAAATAAAGGAAAAACCAAAGAAGAACCCACTCATCTCTTCCAATTCGTCATTAATTTTACTTAAAATCAAAATATCTTTAATATAATAAATATTGAAATTTTGTTTTAATGGAAAACGATTGGTATTTTAGCCTTAAATAAATAAATGGGTTCAGGTCATCTACCATTAAAGAACTTAGAACCGTTTCTGCCTTTTTCCCCCCCTATATCTCCTCATAGCTTTGAGTCACAATCAAGAGAGGTTCTTTTTTTTATTTAAAAAAATCATTTATAACATATTGTGCGTCTTTGTGAGATAAAGGGATATGGAGAAATCGTAGCAGAAATCCAAGTGACATCTTTTCTAGGTTAATGGCAATAAAATTAAATTTTGGATGCACCTGAAATCCTCACCTCCTATGCCACAGATTAAATTAAAGTTTATTTCTCTTAACATATTAATTAGGACCAAATTAAGGTTTGGCAATAATTAGGTCCAACTAATTAAGGGGTAATTAGTGGTCTTCAGACGAGAGAGAACAGTACAAGATCGGGGTATGCATAATGCATGTGGTTGAACATTTGATTATTACTTTGGGAGGAGTAGTTATGCATGGTGGGTGAGTCATTAATAAATTACTAATTAATAATTAATAAACTAAGTTAAAAAAGCATCAAGAGTATGGATAGAGTAATAAGATAATATCCGGGTGCTTGATTCAATTGGTTCTCGAGTTCAAATTTTGTACATTGTTGATAATAATAGTCTTATAGAGGATTTGAATTAGTTCGAGTAAGTGTTGATAATACTCATGTTTTTCAAGATACCAAAAGATGGAATGAAAAACAAAAGATAATTAGAATTTTTATGGATATGAGCTGTGAAAGAGAATGCCCTCCTCTCTCTTCCCATGTGATTTGTTTGCAAGTTCTACGCTTTCTTTCCTTTGTCTCCAAACCATTCCCACATGTAGGGTATATGCCCTCTCTCTCTCTCTCTCTCTCTTGCGCGCGCTTCTAGGCATCTTCTTCCATGGATTGGAATTTTTCGAGTTCTTAATTGATACACAAAAGAGCTTGACAAGGCCCTAATCGTGATTACAGATCAGGAAAGCGTCTATTTATTACATACATACTATATGTAGATATGCATGTTCGTATTTATTTATGTTTTCTCCTTGATCTGTAATCAAGCAATTGCCTGCCAGCACAGGGCATCTTCATGGACTATCACTGTCATTATTAATTTATTAATTACCATTTGGCATCTCTGTTTGTGGGCTCCCACTCTTCTCATCCGGGCCCTACTTTCTCTTCTCTCCTACTCTCACCATTACTGAGACACATGCATGTTTTGAATTTTGCAAGATATTTTCGCTTCAAATTTAGTGGATTTAATTTTTAGTCTAGTCAAGCAATTTCTTAAGTTGTAGCATAAGTAGAATCTGAGCTTATGGCAGCTGCCAGTGTATTTAATTACATGCTACATATGATTTCAAAACATGCCAACACATTCAGACCTCTTTCTTTTGAAAAATGATGACGAAAAGTGCCCCCGGAAACTGGTAAATTAATCAAAATTGCACAATCATATTGAGTTGTGTTTGCCTTCAGCATGTTAGAATATGAAGAATCCCAACTAATCCTGAACAAGGGGAATCCCCACGAAATGTAATGCCTTGAAGTTCATTAAATATGTTAAAGCGATCTGGTTGGCTAATTATCTAACTCATCATCTGTTGCATACATGATTAATTGAATAGTATTAGTCTTTGGAGAATGGACATGTGTTTTGGTTCATAATTGTGGTTTTTAGAACCCAGAACTTACAGTTAATCTCTAATTCCACCCCCCTCTCTGTTTCTTCTTCTTCTTCTTCGTTTTTGGGGCTTACTTTTATACTGATCTGAGACGAGATCTAATGCAGACCAGTTTCTAATATAATAAAAAAGTACGTTTATACATATACTACTTAAAAAAAAAAAAAACATTCTAAGCCCGATTGTCAATCAGTTTTATTGGGAGAGAATTACATATATTGAACTTGTTTGGTGTAGAGGATGACGGTGGCAGTCATTTGATGTATAGCGGCCGCGATGCACAAGAGACGCATGCTGGTATTAAAGCTACTTGTTGGTTATAGCTAGCTTGAAAACCAAGGCACTCGCTAGTTTTAATATATACGGGCTTTGGACATTTTCAGGGGAACAGAGTCAAAACATATTCACATGCCCACGTAATCTTCATCATTCCCTTCTGCGCCAAACGGCCAAATTGAAAATTTGATTTTGTCACTATCATTGCCACGGCTTTTGGATGAAAGTTAACAACCTCAGACGGCAACTCTTAGACCTGGACTTCTGGGAGAAGTTGTAACACAATATATATATATATATATATATAGATAAATATATGCTGTTCATGAGTTTTTGATCATCAACTCAACCAAATTGTTCTAGTGGGTTGATAGTGCTTACAGGGGACGTTTCTGGTAATCAATTTCGTTTCGGGGAGAAATAACACTGATTCATTCCGATCTTTGTATTTAACTGACGAATTCTAAAATCCTCAGGTTGTCCGCATTACAGCTTAACCAAATATGAGATGCACTGACCAACTCTGGAATATACAATGATAGAAGGAAATACTAATCAGACATTCAAACGTGCGGGTTCTGTCTATATTGATCTTTTTTGGGTTAGAAAACCATAAGCAAGTTAACAACCTAAGCATCTTTCTAGCCACGCAGAGGAGAAGATGAAATATGCAGTCTTGCCTTGTTAAAACTCTCGAGTGCGAAAGGAATGAGAACAGCAAGATGTGTAAAGAATGCAAAACTCGCAGCATACTGCTACCGCATATATTAAATATTCATGCACGTATCATGTACATACCCTCTCATACTACATCCGCATAATTAGCCAGTCATGAAGACAACCACAACATCCCCCATTGTTATCTTCTATCTTCTTACTTTGTTCTGCAACTTATGGATAACAGCAGCGAGAGGGGTATGTCCTAACACTTCCAAGAGTGACGAGACTGAGACAGAAGTGGTCAGGAAGAGGTATGAAGGTTGGCTGAAACGACATGGCCGACAATACGAGGATAAGGAAGAATGGGAAGCCCATTTTCGCATTTACCAAGCCAATATCAGGTTTATTGAGTGCGTCAACGCCCAGAATTACACCTATAAGCTCACAGACAACAGATTTGCTGACATTACAAACGACGAGTTTAGAAGTAAATATCTTGGTTCTCGACCTACACAGCAATTACAGACACAATTCCGGTATGAAAAGCATGGGGCGTTGCCAGAAAGCATAGATTGGAGGAAGAGAGGTGCAGTCACCCCCATCAAAGATCAAGGCCAATGCGGTAAAGTTTCTTGCAAAAACAAGTTCATGGTTTAGAAGAACCCAAGAACAAACAAGTACACTATTACCATGCATTCCCTAAATATTTGAATATCATAATACACGAAACAAGCATATAAGATATATAAGAGCATGGAGGCATGAACAAAAGTAACCGAGATCCTTAACAAAATATATGAAGAGATCCTTGTAGTCTGCTGATATTTATCAAATGCTGATTTCGGTTGCTAATACTTCATTCATTCATTCATTCATTCATTTATTTTTGAGTATGTTTTGAATCTCGGAGCCAGCTGAGAAGTAAATCATGGCACAAACCTTTTGATGCAGGAAGTTGTTGGGCATTCTCTGCAGTGGCAGCTGTAGAAGGCATCAACCAAATAAAGACAGGGAAGTTGGTGTCTTTGTCTGAGCAAGAACTTGTAGACTGTGATTTTAATGGTGGGAACCTAGGCTGCCTAGGTGGCTACATGGACAAAGCATTTACTTTCATCGAGAAGAATGGAGGGATCACCACTGAGAAAGACTATCCTTATAAAGGGACAGACGGTACCTGTGATAAAGTCAAAGCTGCTCATCATGCTGTAAATATAAGTGGCCATGAAAATGTTCCTGCCAACAATGAGGAGAAACTGAAAGCTGCAGCTGCTCATCAGCCTGTCTCCGTAGCAATTGATGCAGGTAGCTATTACTTTCAACTTTATTCTAAAGGTATCTTCAATGGCACATGCAGAAAGGACCTCAATCACGGAGTAACAATAGTCGGGTATGGCAAAGAAGATGGTCAGAAGTACTGGCTTGTGAAGAATTCTTGGGGTGAAGAGTGGGGTGAATCTGGTTACGTTAAGATGAAGCGTGATGCTATGGATAAAAGGGGCATTTGTGGCATTGCCATGCTACCAAGCTACCCTGTCAAATAATAAGGTGTCCGATGAAATGCAGAGTAAAATAACGCAATTAGTCCATTAAAATAAGTAGGCTAGGCTTATCAAGCAGACTAGAAGTTATGATGGACAGAATGAAATAAATAATAATCAGAAAGTTCACTGAACATATAGAAGTCACGAACTAATTATTCTGCAAGGACAGCAACTCATAATGTGGTACTATACATAAAACCTTTATCATTTTCCAGCTATAACAATAAACTTGCCAAATTTCTCTTGGCACTTGTACAAAGAAATTAGAATTTTAACCAGACAGTGAAGAATAAATTCCATCACTCGTATGCTAAGTCTTTCTCACATGATAAAACAACAACAACAACAAGAAAAAGCCTTATCTCGCACGAAAAAAACTAAACAAAACCTAACTTCAATCTTTTGCAAAGGCACGACCTTAGTATTGCACTTCCAAGCTTCAAAGAGAAAGGCTTGTCCTCCTTGGGGGTGATTTTAGGGATGATGACACCTTATTCACAACACAGTTTCTACTATGTGTAGTTAGCCTGTTCAGCTTTAGGAATTTTATTGGCAGCTCTGTAAATAACAGCAAAGATCCAGGTGTTGTAAAAATACGTTACACTGCACAAGCTATTTTCCACAGGTAACCGCTGGCCAAACCCTGTCTTACTCCCAATCTGCCCAAATCATTTCCAACAGTAATACATAGCAGCCTCCGCAAACTGATGGACAGCACTAAGTAATCATAGTAGACAATAGATAATTACCCGTTCCACACTCCAGAAGATGTCAGATTGATTGCATCCCTAGTAAAAATATTAGAAATCTGATGTGACCGTGAGATATGGTCAGACTTATAAGAGGAGATCAAGGGGGCAGTTGGGTGTAGAAAGGAAATACCCATTGGGTTAGGATTAATATCCTGAGGGTCCAGAAAAGAAGGATTATGCCATGATGTTTTGGTAGGGTGGCTTAGATTTAGTCTCGATATTGAAGTCACCTTTTTGCTTGCTTTATTTGGCTGTATTATTTTTGTTGGCACTCAAGGATGTTTTAGAGAAGTTAGACAGAAGTGAGGAGAGTGCTGGTCTCTCGAACACCAGTGAGAGACCTTTTCTTGTTGCTGTGTTCTTCCATTTAGTTTGTAATTTCAGTTGTTGGGAATAGGGTTTTGGCTAGAATCAGTGAGTTTCTCTTGTAACACTGATTCAGTTCATATGCATTAATATCAAAAACCTCAGAATTTCCCTCATTTATTTCTCTTTGCATTGAAAGCTTGGTTCTATTAGTTACTTTAGAGCAGAGCTCTAACAATTGGCATCAGAGCCGTGCAATCCTCGGACCTTCTAATAAGCGCAAGAGAGATGGCCGAAAGAGTGCAGTACTCCAATTCCGAGGTACAAGAGTTGAAAGAATCTGTTGGAGGACTATCGAAAGAAATGATCATGATGAAGGAGATGATGCAGACGATGCAAGATAAATTAGAGCAAATAGCAGAGAAACAGAAAAGTGCAGACCAACCTCCTGAACAAGATCAACCCAGCCATGAAGAGACTACAGGAAGCACCGGAGATCATGAAAAAGAAGTAGGGAAGTACAGGAAGCTGCAGTTACCAATATTTGATGGAGAAGACCCTATTGGGTGGCTTTTCAGAGTGGAAAGGTATTTTCGAATCAATGCTGTGGCTGAAATGGAGAGACTGGAAGCAGCCATCGTGTGCCTCGAAGGTAAGGCTCTTAACTGGTATCAATGGGTGGAAACTCGAGCACCTATCCGAGAATGGTCAGAGTTCAAGCAAGAACTTCTGCGTCGATTCCATCCCTCATAGCTTGGGGATGAATATGAGATGATGTTTGCAGTCAAACAGGAGCATTCTGTGCGCGAGTATGTGGAGGAGTTCGAACGCGTATCAGCTATGGTGGGAGACGCATCAGAATCGTGTGTGGGGGGAGCATTTCGTGTAGGACTAAAACCAGAGATAAGGGCTGAATTAAAGCTCACGGCCGCCAGTACCCTTAGAGAAATTATGGAGATGTCTATTAGGGTGGATGAGAGGAATCAGGTAATAGAGAAGGCCAAAGACTCACGGTTTCTGCGAGGCCAGCGTTTTCAAAGTGGGCTTAAAAATGAATCAGCCCAAACTCCTTTCACACGGATCACTCATGTGGCTGAGCCCAGTAAAAGCATGCACACCTCTTCAATACACTCGGGACTCCAGAAACGGGCTAAGACAAAAACGGCAGACTCAAAAGTAGCGAGCAACACGACAGGAACAGCGTCGTCGCGTCCAGGGGGACGAACCCAGCGACTGTCAGACGTGGAATTAACTCGTCGGCGAGAGCTTGGTTTGTGTTTCAAATGTGCAGATAAATTCGGACCTAATCACATCTGCAAAAATAAAAATCTGCAAGTGATGTTGTGGAGCTAGAGCCCGAGAAGGGAATCGAAGGCCATGAACCAATATGCACTAAAGATAGTGAAGAAGCCGAAGAAGATGAAACTCGAATGGAGTTATCACTAAACTCCATAGTTGGGTTTGGAGGGAATCGCACTATGAAGGTACGTGGGAGACTAGAGAAAGCCGAGATTGTGATTTTGATTGATAGTGGGGCTACCCATAACTTCATAGCTGAGGAATTAGTCACTAAAATAAAAATTCCAGTGGAGGACATTGCCGTCTATTCTATCACTGTTGGGGATGGGTTTAGTATTAAAGGGAAGCAACGCTGCAATGACCTCAAGTTACAGGTACAAGGCCTGGACATTATTCAAAATTTCTACCCCTTTCTACTCAGTGGCGTAGATGTTGTACTAGGAGTTGAATGGTTAAAATCTTTAGGAGAAGTGAAGGTTAATGGGGGCAACTGACCATGAAGATTGGTAAGAAAGGAAACAAGGTGTGTTTACAAGGTGATCCCGCTCTAACCAAGGCCTTGGTTTTCCTTAAGTCATTTATTCGATCCGTATAGAAGAGAGGGGAGGGGTACATGATCGAATATAATGGGATGAATAATGAAGAAACAACAGCTGAAACTATAAAATTGGCGCCTGAAATTCAGAACCTCCTGGACCAATTCTCTATAGTTTGTCGACCTTTTGAAGGGTTACCACCAACTCGTTCTCATGATCATGCAATAGCAACCAAACCAGGCGAACAACCTCCTAACATACGGCCGTATCGGTACCCTCATGTTCAAAAAAATGAAATTGAGAAGATGGTGAAAGATATGTTGAGAGCAGGTATCATTCAGCCCAGTCAAAGTCCTTATTCAAGTCCAGTTTTGTTGGTTAAGAAAAAAGATGGAAGCTGGAGATTCTGTGTGGACTATAGAGCCTTGAACAAAATCACGGTGCCTGACAAATTTCCCATACCGGCTATAGATGAGTTGTTAGATGAGTTAAAAGGAGCCGCCATCTTCACCAAGCTGGATTTGAAGTCCGGATACCATCAGATCAGAATCATGGCTGGAGATGAACATAAAACAGCATTTAGAACCCACGAGGGACATTATGAATTCAAGGTAATGCCCTTTGGTTTAACCAATGCTCCTTCCACATTCCAATCTTTAATGAATGAGATATTCCGAGAGCATCTTCGGAAATTTGTGCTTGTATTTTTTGATGACATACTTATTTATAGCCATGATTTAACATCTCACTTGAAACATTTGAAAGCTGTTTTGTCTATCCTAAAAGAGAACCAGCTAGTGATCAACCTTAAGAAGTGCACTTTCGCCCAACCAAAAATTGAATATCTTGGGCATATCATTTCCAAGGAGGGAATGCAAGCGGATCCCAGCAAAATTGAGAGTATGGTGCAGTGGCCTAAACCCAAGAATGTGAAATCCTTAAGAGGGTTCCTAGGGTTGACAGGGTATTATAGAAGATTTGTCAAGAATTATGGAAAAATCGCTAGTCCTCTCACCGATTTACTTAAGAAAGATGCCTTTAAATGGACCCCAAAAGCTGAAGAAGCCTTCCAAAGTCTCAAGACAGCCATGACTTCTCTCCCAGTACTAGCTTTGCCTGATTTTTCCATCCCGTTTGAGTTGGAAACAGACGCTTCCGGGTCTGGAATAGGAGCAGTGCTGATGCAGAATGGCCGTCCAGTGGCATATTTCAGCCAAAAGCTCTCTAACCGTGCTCAACAATGTTCCATTTATGAGAGGGAACTTATGGCAATTGTTATGGCGGTCAAGAAATGGCGACACTACTTATGGGGGGAGAAATTTGTCATCCGGACAGATCAGAAAGCTTTGAAGTTTCTGCTGGAACAGAGAATTGTAGAAGAAAGTCAACAGCACTGGATCACTAAATTAATAGGGTTCAAGTTTGAAATAGCTTACAAACCGGGCAAGGAAAATCGTGCAGCGGATGCACTTTCAAGGAAAGAAGAAAATCTGGAGATACATGGTTTTTCTTTATGGCAGCAAGGTGACCTTGAAGAATGGGAGAAAGAAGTACATGCTGATCCTAAGTTAAATGATATACTGCAAAAAGTCATTACCAAGCAAGGAAATTTGGAGGGATACAGCCTTGTGAAGGGTTGTCTACACTATAAAGGACGATTGATGCTACCAAAGAAGTCTACCAGAATTCAATTGCTCATGAAGGAATTTCATGATTCACCAACCGGAGGCCATTCGGGTTATTTGCGCACTTACAAGAGGCTTTCTACTGTTGTATATTGGGAAGGCATGAAAAAAGATATCCAACAATATGTGTCACAGTGCGACGTGTGCCAAAAGAACAAATATCAAGCATTAACTCCAGCTGGGCTGTTACAACCCTTGCCGATTCCTCAACAAATTTGGGAAGATATTAGCATGGATTTCATTACAGGACTTCCAAAATCCAAAAGACATGACGTCATACTTGTTGTTGTTGATAGGTTGACAAAATATGCCCACTTCTTGGCTTTGACCCACCCATTTACAGCAAAAGAAGTTGCTGAAAGATTCATTAATGACATTGTTAAATTGCATGGGTTTCCAAAAACAATTGTGTCAGATAGGGATAGGGTGTTTGTAAGTCAGTTTTGGAAGGAATTATTTAAGCAAGCAGGCACTCAGCTTTGTCTTAGCTCTGCTTACCACCCGGAATCTGATGGCCAAACCGAAGTCTTGAACAGGAGCTTAAAAACTTACCTGCGTTGTTTCACCAGTGAGAAACCAACCCAATGGGCGCAATGGTTACCTTGGGCTGAGTATTGGTACAACACAACTCATCATGGGGCTGCTGGAATAACACCCTTTAAGGCGGTGTACGGATGGGACCCTCCTACTTTTTTTAAGCTGAATGGGGAACCGTCAGGCATTGAAGCTGTCAATGAACAGATTCAGTCCCGGAATTCCATTATTGCCATTTTAAAGGAAAACCTCACTGTGGCGCAAGAAAGAATGAAGAAGCAAGCTGACAAACATAGGCGAGAGATATAGCTGGACGTTGGAGATTTAGTCTATGTCAAAATCAGACCCTACAAGCTGAAATCTTTAGCCAAAAGACTTAATGAGAAACTCAGCCCTCGTTTCTATGGCCCCTTCAAGATCATAGAGCAGATTGGACAGGTCGCATACAAGCTGGAACTTCCTTCCACAGCTCGCATTCACCCAGTCTTTCACATTTCTCAACTCAAAAAATCAGTTTGTTCAGCTATTGTCACTCCTACTATACCACCAGCACTTTCTGCAGAATTGGAGCTACAGGTACAGCCTCAAGACATATGCAAGGTTCGGAAACTTATGACAGACCAGCTGGAGGTTTTAGTGAAATGGAGAGATTTACCCGAGTTTGAGAATTCA